CGAGTATATAAATGTATTTATAACAGTACAATTGTTCTATAAGTGAATTAAATTAAAGTAATTCCTGTTATGTAGAAGGATTCAACGTTCAACAACAATTGGGTGTATTGAAAAATAGGTCAGATTATATTCAATTATCAATACCTTTTCCCTATTAATTTTTGCATAAATAGCTGGTTTTGAACAGAATCACTATCGTGGCAAATTCCATACTACATAACAATTTTGAAGAAGTATCCCTTTCGACAGGATAGCGGGGTTGGGTTACTGAGCAATAAAAACCAACAGTCAATGACAAAATTGTAGGTAATACAAATAAATTAAAATATCATTATCGTAAAAAAGTAATTAGGTTTTATAACAGGCAGTTCATTCTCTTCTTAACAACTTAACGACAGATCTTACCATTAAACAAAATGTGTCATAACATTCCTTGTGAAATTGTGAAAAGAACAAATCAATCGTTGGTCCATTTTAGATCAGATGCTGTCACGCCAAATATCATTTTGTAGCAGGCAAATAATCGAACTGATTTTTAGTCAATAGTAAATATGATAGGTGTGAATAGAGGAAAAATTGTGCAGTAAACCCATGGTAAAAACCTTTCTCCAGGTATTACTGCCAGATATCAAGGGTTAGAACAATATCAAGTAATAAATTATCTTAGTTTTGTAAGTTTTTGTGTATATATCAGTTTCGTGAGTTTATTACTGCTCAGTAGTAATTGTGATGATTTTTCTGTGGTATAAAATTCTGACTTTTTGACTCCCTATTGTACAATTGTATTTTGCTGTTGTTTATGCAACCAAAACGACAACATATTGTTAGTAAAATAATATTATTAGTCTTACTAAAAATCAGAAAGGATGTGTATGCTAATACAACATATACCACTGATAACAACAGAAGTGACTTTCCAATTCAAACTATTGCAATTTCCGGTTAAACTAACAAATCACTAAGTCAATCATTGCTAGTATGTGCATTGAATGCAGAGAATCCATGGTTTTATCATGGACAATTACAAGATGGATGGAGGATTTTTTGTTCGTATACATGCCAAAAGCATTGTATCAACAGCATTGAATTTAACGCTGAATATAGCAGTAATTACAATTTAAAATAATATAATCCAAAGCAAAAATAATATTGCATATGTAAATTTCTAATATGATGATTAATACAGTCATTGACATCAAATATTCAATTGTGTTCATTTATATAAATAAATTTATTATCTCCATGCCGGCAACGCCGGGTTATAAAGCTAGTATTTAATTAATTAGTTTGGAGTGGGAAGTTGGTGTTCGAGTAGATCGAAGGCACGATAGCTCAAGTGGTAGAGCAGCGGCGTATTTAGCCGAAGATCGTGGGTTCGAATCCCGCTCGTAACACTAGCTTTTCCATTTCAACCAATACCGTACATAAAGATTAATTAATTGAAAGAAATTATTTGGTAATCAGACCGCGAAATATAGTGGATTTAACTAGTATTTAATATGAAATATATCAATATATCAATATTGACTAATCGACTAACCGATCACTATTAACATCTATTACAAATTCGTTTATATATTACGTCGAATGCTAGTTAAGTATATAGCTACTATTTAGCAAAAAGCAAGGGCAAAAAATGATCGCAACGACCAATTTACAGATTCATCACCCCGCACACCACATGGAGCAATCTCATGGTATTACCAATAAGTCACTGGTACTTAATAGCATGTAGCATTGGAAGCCTAAATTAGGCTATACTGAATCTATGCAACATCCTAAAACCTGACATAAATTTTTTGATAAAATAATGTACCACTAAACTAATACTGCATATCTACAAAAATATATTTTAAAAAAAAATCCCCTCTGTGTAACGAAATATGAGATGCTGTTAACGCGTAACCATAAATTATTTTCATTTTGAAACCTACTGGAATACAAATGAAAGCCATTTTAAAAACATACATGTTTAAAGCTAGAACGTTTTCTGTTGTAAAAGTATTTTTTTTAATTTGTCTCTCAACAAAGATGGAATTATTAATGAGATATTGAGAAGATAATTCGTAATGTAGAATAACGGGGTAAATAAAACACTCATGTTTACTTCACTCTTTACGTCGTTGATAGCCGAAACAAATAACAACAAGTACGGAAATGGTCGCTGTTATCCCTAAGTGGAAGAAAACGGAAGGTTGTCCGGAGATGAACATTTGTACAAACCACAATAAACAGTTCATCGACTTGCGGACTACAGGGTAATTTCGAAGGTTTTATCTTTTGCTGTAGCGTAAGTGCCACCCACATTTATCACATCACATGATCCGGAAACCTTACGGCCTCCTTAATTTCTTTTACGTTATTGCTACCGGCTGATATTGCTTTTGCATCTGTCTGAGTTTTTATTTTCACAATAAGAATCGGTTCAAAAGCGTCCCAGTTGTCTGTTTATATTTACACGCGTGCAAGTCTGATAGACAGTATTCATTCATCTAATATCAACTAGTTGCAAATCAATACTACTGAAAAATTCAGTATCCCGCCTTTGTGATCGTTAGGTACAAAATTAGAGCCAAATATTCATGCACTTGATCAACCTTATCTAACATACTGTTCTTTTTCATAAAAACCACAAAATTTTATTGCAAACGAAGTAAGGTTTACAAAAAGTTAAGTCGTAACCCCTTCATTTTTTTAAAAGCATCTATTTTTATTTAAAAAAAAACACTTTTTGTACACAAGATTTACAAGACACATCATTCAGCTTTCTTTGAAAGTATAACCTACTGATTATTTAGAGATCTTGATATGCGGTCTGATGTGAAGTAGGTTTTAGAAAAAAAATTTCTTTAACGTGCCAACGTTTCGATCATTATTAAGATCACCTTCAGGGCCTGGGATTAATAACATTGATTAAATTAAACATATACATGTAGGATGTGAAAAAACGAATTTATTCATTGATAGAAATTTTAGACTCAATCAATGTATTTGTACTCACTCAAGTGCTTGTTTTCTGTGTATATGTGTCATTATTGTCTGTCGTGTTGAGAGTGCCGGAGAGGTATTGATGTTTTAAGTCTATATACGTTGGACTTTGAAGGAACGTATTTTGTTCACATCTTACATCTATTTGTATAATTTAAACAATGTTTATAAATCACAGGCCCTGAAGATGATCTCAATAAAGTCTGAACATCTTACGATCTCCAGATAATCATTAACTAAGGTCACTAAACACCAAACAATATAACCTATGTTTTTGCTACATATTCTTAAAGTACGTCGGTTTTTATGAAAAATTATTTTCTTCATTGATATGAAGTACGAATTTTATTAGAAGCAATTTTTTTAAATAATAATTGAGGAGATCGATCATTTTGACTGTGAACATCTTTTTTCGCAATCAAGCGAAAAGCGGAGCTGAAAAATGAAACTAAAAAACTTAGCATAAACGAATATTACAAAATTAAAATAATTTAATTACATCTAAACGATAAACAACGAGAAATGTTAAACTAGAAATAATTTCAAATTATTATTCTTTTTATGTAAATTCTTTGTTGAGATGAAAAAGAATAATGAAATAAGTAATTTGGCCAATTACACCACTAAAATTAAATGTTCTAAACTCTTTTCACCTGAAAGAAGCCGACTCCTTATACAAAAATGTCTTTCTATACCGACTTCCTTCCCCACCCCTTCAAAATTCAACGTATATAAACATAAAAAGCAATATCTCACTGGCACTCTCAACACGGCACGCAAGAATGGCACAGTTACGCAGAAAACCAACACTTTGAGTGAGTAAAAATACTTTGATTGAATATAAAAAATATATTTTTTGCATTGTATAAATTCACTTTTTTTCACATCCTAATGTTTGTAAATCCCAGGCCTTGAAGATGGTCTCAATAAAGATCGAAACGTTGGCACGGTAAAGAAAATGTTTTTCTGAAACCTACGTCACACCAGACCGCATCTCACGATTTCCGAATAATCGTTTTTATGTTTATTCATTGTCCGCCGAGTTTTGTCCTAGGGAAGTTTGTTATAAATGAAAAGCTTCCGAAAACATCCCCTATAGTATTATTTAAAACAAAAAATGAGTCTCGCAAAATCCTTGACCGATTTCTATTGAAAAAAATCATTTTTCGAATAAAGCGAGGCATTTTAAGAATATACAACAAAAAGCATAAGGTTGTATTTGAAAAAAAAAGTTGAATGAGGCATCTTGTGTACCTTTAGTCGAAAAAATACTGTTTTCTTTACATAAACAAAACCTTAGAAAAAATAAAGGGTTTACAATTTAACTTTTTTTTATATCTTGCTTTCTTCATAAAAAAAACGGGCTGGTCCGTATAAAAAGGGACGCGCTGTATATTGCAGGAATATATACTTATTTTACCATGAAGCAATATAATTTTATGTCAACAAATCAACTAATTTAAGTTTATCTACTGAGATTTATGTATTTTTTATTGCTGGCGTAACTTAAAATTATTATTGACTTATAATGCCAAAAGCAGGTTCTGACAGTTTTGTATCAATGGTATTTTAAGTTTGTTGTTCAAAAGAGTTCATACTAAATTTAAAATTCATTGAAATTTGATATCCTTTGTTTCGAGTAATTAATTAGTGCATTTCAACGCGCATAAATTATTAACTGGCTATGACTTATATAAGATGACGATAAACCTGTCAAATGAACAATTAGATAAACCTCTTTCTTTATACCACCGTCGAGGATTTTCCAGCTAAGAAATTCTCCCTAATTGTGTTTGAACAAAGAACAAACATCCTTAATAAATCCGGGTTCACTCTATTGTCGAAGGAGTACAAGGGCACGTAATTGGGTAGAAATTACACAAAAGACAACAAAGGAATTTATGTAGAGCCGGCTTCTCTATTTAACCCGTACTTAGAGAAGCACATCCTTTATTTTTGGAAATATTAACCGGATCGCGTCAGTTGAATTATGCAAAGGGAGAGCAACTTACAGGCTTGCCGGATGTTGCAGGGCTTCAGAGATCTTCACTTTCAAATGTGCCAGCCTGTAGACGACACAAGTGTCGATCACCTTGTTAATGGTCACCATCGCTGTAAACTGTAGATCGTGGACGCCGTGGATGAGCGTCAGACACGTTTTGAGGAGAAGTGAACAAGCCGCGGACAGTTCGATTCTTCTTCTTTCCGCTTCTTCCGCCGTCGATGTTTCCAGCGAAGTACCTCCGTACGTTTCAAGAGAAGTCTGAAAGAAAGACGCTCAATTTAGTAATATACTTTAGAGATATAATGAAATCAAATGACTTTGACAGTCATTTTTCAGTAGTTGTAATATTAACCCTTCTGTGGGGCTCAGCGCTTGGTTCTTTCTCACAACTTGGTCTCTTTCTCACTGTCTGTTTTCTCAAAATTGTTTATTTTTTATTTTTCCTCTCATTACCTCACCCAAAAAACTGGTCCCAAAGAAATTTTCATAAATATACAAATCAATAAGCAATAATATTACCTCAGGGGGTTTCATCCTTAATTTTAACCCAAAGAATATCGAATACTCTGGGGCAGTGTGAATATAATTTATTACCGAGAATGGACGGTGCAAGGAAATACGTTTGATTTTCTGTTTAATTGGGTTTGTGAAATAATGGATTTTGTTAAGTTAATTCCTACTAGCAGGTGGAACCTAAAAGGAGAACTTGCTCAGAACGGAGTTGTGAAAGAGAGGAAGAGATTTTTTTATTTTATAACGAGGGGATTCGAACCCGAGACCTTTACCTTACAGTGATAAGCGTCGTGTCAACGCCTAAACCGTAGCGGCCACCAAAGCCCCCAAAATAGAAGAGATGTTTATTAAGTACTAAGATCGAAAATGCGTATGGACGACGTCTGGGCATTGCAGTTTAAAAAATCGGTTTATTTAGATGGATACCTCTTTTCCCGCCGTAAACTATGAATTATGTTACTCCCTCCAACCGGCAGTGACTACCTTTTCAATGGAAGCAACTTGATTTCAGCCAAAGGCCTGTAGAACAACAACAAAAACGACCCAAACTCATATTATTTTTGGTCAATTTTCATTCTTATTACTATTGTATTATTCCTGTTTACAATTATTTTATGAAATCACTTGCTTTCTTCCATCCCTTTTTGTTTTCCTTACAAGGGACTTCATTTTGGCAGTACTATACACAATTTATAGAGTGAATGATGCACCTATAACCACAAGAATGAGGTCTTGTATGTTCATATTATAAATATTGGAGTGAAAAAAGGGAATATCGAGTATTATGATGCAGTGTGATTGAATTCTGGTTTGTGAATTTAATGTATTACTCCAAGAGGCACGGAATTCCCTGGGGCTGTATGATTTAAGTCTGGTGTGTGAATTTAATTTATTAACGTTAATAGGGGGACTTCTTCCCTAATTGTCCCAAGGAATTCGAGTTAACCATACTAACTTGTGTAGTGTGGTGATTTTGTATGTTTAATATATGCATATTTATCCTGACCTACACACCCGTGAGCTATAGAGAGGCTGACAGCAGGGGAAGGGGTCGGCTTTAGTGTCAGAAAAATTAATTAGAAGATTAATTAATCCTTTTAAGTAAGGTTTTGGTTGTATTTTTTAATGGAATCGAATCCTATTAAACGACATTTGAAAAATGGCAAATAAAAGGAAGGAAAATTCGAAAGGTTGTAGGTTGTGATGGGGAGTTGGTGTCCGAGTGGATCGAAGTCGCGATAGCTCAAGTGGTTAGAGCAGCGGCGTATCAAGCCGAAGATCGTGGGTTCGAATCCCGCTCGTGCCATTAACTTTTTTTCATCTCAACTAAAAACATTAATTAATTGTTTAGTATTAATTGGTCAAGCGGACCACGAAATTAGTGACTTTATTTAATTAAAATGAAGTACACTTCACTAAAGCTCTCCGTCGCCATTTCAATTGTCGTCGAGAATCCAAACCGAATACACATTTGAAAAATGGCAAAAGGAGGGAAAACTCATAAGGTGGGATTGAGATGGGGAGTTGATGTCCGAGTGGATCGAGGTCACGATAGCTCAAGTGGTAGAGCACGGCGTATCTTGCCGGAGGTCCTGAGTTCGAATCCCACTCGTGCCACTAGCTTTTTCTTTTCAATCAAAACCTTACATAAAAAGATTAATTAATTGTGTAATTAATAATTGAAAGTAATTTGGTCAATATACCACTAAATGTGATGGATTAATTAGAAGGAATAAAATGCTGGAAGGAAAACATAACAACAACAAAGAACAAGTTTGCTAGCCCTAAAACTTTGCACAATATGGAAAGATCACTTAAATATTATTTTTAATCAAATTATTTCAATCGGAGTGATATTATCTAGAGTTTTTCTCATTTTAATATCGCTTTTTGCTCTTGCCCACTTTTTAATTCTATTTACATTTAATTTTCTCCGTTTTCTTGTAAAAATTGTTGTACTTGGTAATATTTTTTTAACCAAATTCACTTTTTAAACTCTACTTTCATTACTCCCCTGATATTCGTCCATCTTGTAGTAAAAAAGAAAAGATTTAGCGGCTTGAACGATAAAAATACTTCTGCAATCAAACGTGACAGGGGGAATTCTTTTTTCATTCTCTCCGTCTTTTCTTTCTACCTTGGATAAATTCGCGTTATAGTACATTAGTGTTTTTAAATTCGGTATGAAAAGATTTAGTGCCATTTGTTTTTTGTCAAAAAGGTATTTAAAAAATAAGAAAATATACTACAAATATGGAGTATTACCAATATAATAAAAAGAATTAAAATTTCTGGTCCCGCTTCGTTTTTGTTTGAAATGCTTTTTTTTATAGGGAGAGAGATCCTTGTTATTGCGATCGGGAATTGGGTGGACATAGTGGATGTTTCTTTGTTGACATTGAAGAAATGTTCTTGTTTTTCCAAGAGAAAGTAGCTCCCTTTTCATACACAATACGCGATTCGTGTATTCACTTTCTGGCAGGCGGAATGCAAGTTTGCACAAATACTATAATCCTCGCCCGGCTGAGCGACGGTCTTTGTTGTGTACATTGTGTGTACATATAATTTTTTTATTCATTGCCAACAGAAAACTCAGTACTGACGACTAAATTGGGAGATGCGTAAATGGACTGTTCTGTGGAAAAAAATAATCATTTTTTTTAAACATACCTTGAGCAATTTATGTAAAAGTGCGGCCATATTTCTGTGAAGGGACGAGTCGTTTCTTTGCTGGAGGAGTTTCAGAATCCTTGATATATGAGCCAGAAGGCCTCTGAGGATGAAACCGAGTACCTCGGGGTTCGAACACATTTGTAAGAGCACATGGAAGCCACGCTCGTGGTCAGCACACGGCGCGATTTTTTCTGCAACACATAAGAAAGGAAAAAAAATTAAGACTAAAAATAGAGTAAGATCAAATCTGATTTGTGAAAAACGGGATAAGATATTAATTGAAAGACGTACACTTCTCGGGGGTGAAAATCCATTTAAACTGGGTGGTGCAAATCAAATAGGCTGCTTAAGGCCTTACCATACGCCCGCATATCAAATTGCAACCGTGGTTTCATTTGGCTTTTACCTCGAATAAATATAATTATAAGTATAAATTGTGTTGGTTTATTTTTTAATCAACTGGCCTTTCCGGCTTAGCAAAGGTTGGCATTTGTAAACCGCTATTTTTGATTATATATATATTTTTTTTATTAAAGGATCTTTCGAAAAGAGCTGCTTGAATTCACATCACGTATTAATCTAGTTCCAAGGAATCCCGGTTGGAATTAAGGATAGAATTGGAGGGTCTAAAAAAATAATAATAAAATACTAAAGGACGCTTCGATGGGACGAAGAAAGGTGTTCAACATCACTTCGACCATTATTTCTAGACCGTTTATATTTTTATTACTTTGGAAACATTACTTTTCCTATATGTTCATAATAGTCTTAATAATTGAACTAATTTATTATGAAAGAAAACTTTAGATTTTTGAAATCTTTATATATTAATATGTTTTCACACTAAAAATATTTGGACGAATGAGTGAAATTAGATTTTTTAATTTATGTTCATGCACATAAATAAATTTGAGTTGTCAATAAATTACTAATAAATTTCGCTATCTTCAGTGATTTGAGTCAAACTCAATAAATGGTGAACATGACAATAATATGTAATAACATCAGAAGTGATCAATAGCATATTACATGTAACGTGGTCGGTACCGAGGTCATTTTTGGTCTGTCTATCCTCGTCGGTCTGGTCTGTCAGAAGTGTCGCGGCATTTTGCTGTCTTCATTGTATGGTCTGCTGGAAAATGTGTCTCACTGGCGAGGGTAGGCATAGGAGAAATGATCGGTAATGACCAATTGAGTTCATCTCCCAAGATCGCACAGAGAAAACTCTAATCGTTACCGTTAGATTTGGTTTTTCAATATCTATAAACTCTTGGATATGTTCTTACTTCTTTACTAGATATTTCCTTGTTTTAGGGCATTTTCAGTCTAAGCAAATAAATGGTTGAAATATGTAATGAATATAATTATAGGCCCTGGTTATTGATCATTTTTTTCCATATTTTCTATGAAAGGTATTAATTTTTAGGTTGGTTTTACATTACTTTGGCAAAGGTTAGGCATCGCTTTACTTTAGTCGAGCGTTTTCTGTTATCTTTTTTTTTTTTTTTTTTTTTTTTTTTTTGATGCAGTAACTTTCCCAAATAGTCGAAGACTTCGAGTATTTTTTCCTTGTTTACGTAAAATTTTACATTCCTACTTTTACTTGATTATTGCTATTTTAAAATACGCTGATCGAACGCATTGAAAATTTATAAATTGCCAAGTTAAGTCATTATTTAGTTTTTACAAAAATTGTTTTTCTTAAATATGGATACTTGTTTCTTGATAAAGTATAGTTAGCAATTAATTTATTTTGTTTACTTTTATACTTGCACTATTTTTTTTTAATTTCAAATCGTGCAATAGGTTATGTTCGGAAACTAAATGATATTTTTAATCCCATATTCTCATATGCAAGTAAAGCATATTATTTCTGTTTTATTTCATGTGAATGTACATGATGAGTCGGACCCTATTTGTGGTGATTTGCTCCCCTAAACAAAATAATTAAATAACTTATTTATAGAAATCTGTCGTTCATTAACAATGCATTAATCAACCTCCAAGAATAATTCATTAAAAAATAATCTTCTTTGTAATTAATTATGCTTAAAATCTTGTTGAAATCCCCTGACTGAACATGGAAGGTACCCTCTGCATAAAGATTTATTTTCCACGAAGAGGCAAAATGACTCCAGGTCACATTCTGTTATGAAAAGAAATTCAATTTGGACGGTCCGGATGGTTTTCCATAATATTATCACGATTTATGTTAAGAAGAAAAATACTGTCACGTTTTGAAATGGAGAGCCGTTTAATGATATGGCCGTGCATTGGAGTGAGAAAAATATTAATATCTTTCAAAAACAAATACTATTAGTTCTACTTAATTTTAATGAAAGTACATAAAATCATTTTTCATTGGAATTTGCTTTAATTGCTGCTAAGTACAAAATGTAAATGACCACATTTTATAAAAACTTATTCAAGTTCCCTAAATTTGGATAGGTTTTTCCCTGTTAATATAAGGTAAGTATATTTCAAATTAGTATAAAATAAACTGAAGAATACTTCTTTTTAACAATTTCTTTAACATAATGTTAATTTTTTTTAAATGAAAAGCATAACTATATAGTAAATTCTCTATCTTAGCTCTTATTAATCTCTCACATATGGGCAATACAGACAGTTTTTGTTAAACGTGAAAATTGATCAACATTAATTTACCACTGCCTTGAACTTTTTCTTCCTACAGATAAATTTAATACATCAACTATTTAATTCTAAGTCTGAATTTCATCTGTTATACGGAAAGACATATTGTTACTACAATTATATTTTATTTATTAGGAAGAATTTACCGATTTTTCCATTTCTGGATTAAAGTTTTGTGGAGTAAGTTGGTGGAATCGTGCAAGAAAAAACTTGACGGAGAAATTTACGGCTGTAATGCTGATATTATATTGATAATATGTACATATTAAAAAAAGTTAAAGTATAAATGTAAGTTTCAACTTAAATTATTGTTAGTAATTAAATCATAAAATCGTTAAAAAATTAAGTAAAAGAAATTAAAGCAATTTTTAGGACACTGAACGATTATTATGTATTAAGTTGTAATGTAAATTGTAATTGTAAACAAATTAATTATACATCCAAAAAATCTAGAAAAATTGATTACTGTTTAGTTTTTCTAGGAATTGTTTTATTTTTAAATTTTTATGTTTTTACACTGCATAAACACTCTTCTAAAACAATACTATTTCCTTTTATTTTTTCTATTTACAATTTTTCACATTTTTGGGTGTATCGCAATCCAAGTTTAAATGCTTTGAAGCTATGTAGATAGACAGCAAAAACTGTTCAATATCAAGAAATCTTTTGCAAAACATACAAAAAAATATGTAGGTTTATAATACAATTATATATTTATTCACTATTTTCCGTATAACATTTTTATTATTTTACATTTATACAAAAATTAATGAATAATAGGCAATATAATTTTTTGATATGGCAGTGAAAATTGATAATAACTATGCTTATTTACCTATTGTTTTCCAAAGCTAAGGAGGGTTTTTAAGAATATTAGTCTTCTTGATGGGATATTTCAGGGTAGTTTGTATAAGTAATGTTTCCAATGATAAAGTTAAAAGTATAATGAAATGATGATTATCTAATATATTCGAAACCTCCTAGGAAATTTTCTCACCATCGTTTTTGAAGGAATAGAATAGATGTGAATCTGGTTATTGTCATTAATAAGCAGAGTCCAATGTAAACATATTTTTCATAATGCGTAAGTTAATAGCTGCAAAGATTTGTCGCCAAGGCGCCCATTGGGAGGAGCGTAAGCGGCTTTATTCCAGTATAAAATATTCCCTCGAGGACGAAAAAGGCTGAATTTTCCAGTGGTCCCAAATCCCCCTGGATCAATAAGTCCCGTCTATTGGTCCCAACGGGTCATAATTCAGTGTTCTAGTTAGTTGAACGTTCTGTGAGTGTTCGAGGGAAAGAGGACGGGTGGCCGCGCTCAAATTGTAACGCTGCCCTAACTTTTAACCGGGATCCCAACATTTTATCTACTGCCTCAGCTTTTAACTCTCTTTAAAAGGGGGACCGAAAAGTTTTATAATTGTCATTGTACTGTCAGACCTGCCAATTAAATTCAAAAATAGCCAGTTGGTCGAAAACAGAAAACATGACAGATCATTTTGTACAAATGGGACGGCTCGTCCCATTTTCACGACAGAAAAATATCCACTTATTTGCCATAAAAAACTTTTTAATTGCCTTTTTTTCACCTCCCTCTAATTAATTAAAAATAGTACTGAAAAAAACATGATTACAGTTTTTGCGTTGCATTGCAACTTTAGCAATATGTGTTATTTCCATTCACTAGTTTTAGTGGTCCACTTGGCCAATTAATATCTTACAATTAATTTTGAAGGAAATTTCGAATGGTGGGGTTGAGATGGGAAGTTGGTGTCTGAGTGGATCGAGGTCACGATAGCTCAAGTGGTAGATAGGGGTGTATTTATACTAACGTCGTGGGTTCGAATCCCGCTCGTGACACTGACGTTTTATCTCAACTAAAAACCTTAATTAATTGAAATATGTGTTATGCTATAATAAATCTTATTAATTTTAGTTATTGATTGAATAGAGCGTTCTGGTTTTCAATTAGCCAAAAATCGTTCAAAATAGAAGAGCTTATAGGTTAGGATTAATACCTAGGTTGGTCATTTTCAATATCTCAGTCTCCGCCGATATCTCTTTCTATGTATATGTCTATTACAAACTAACTTATTGTTTCATTAACATTATATTGCACTAAGTATTAAAGTGGCAACCCGGTGTTTAAAATAAACGAAAATTTAAAGATTAGTCCTCATTTATCTCTCTTTTCCTCTGACTCATTCTCTTTTTCTCTCTCTTTCTATTTCCTATGTCTCGTCTTTCTATTTATCTCTATTTTGCCCTCTCTCAATCTCTTTCACTCTCTCTGTAGATCTCTTTCTCTATCGCTATCTCGATCTCCATCACTATCTCTCTATCAAACTACTTCTCTCTCACTCATTCTCTCCCTCCCTCTCTTTCTCTCCCTTTATCTCTCTCTATCTCGCTCTCTCTTTCTCTCTCTATTTCTGTCTTCTTCTTCTCTCTCTATGCACCTCTCTATCTATACAGATCTATTAACTTCTTTCCCATTCACTTCACACTTCGCTCTCTTTCTCTACATTTTTTTCTG